GCAATGAATAACGGGTCAGTAAGGAAAACCATAACATCATCAGCATACATGCATATTTTGAAATGTGAAACTAATAATGGGTAGCCAGAGATATCCGAATGTGATCTAATTGCTATTGCCAAGGGTTCCAACACCAGCGCAAACAAAAGGGGTGATAGAGGACAGCCGTGACGGGTGCCTCTACCCAATGTAAAAAAATCGGAGTTACAACCAGGAAGCTTTATTCTCGTTTTAGGAGAATTGTATAGTGCGTGTATACCAGCCAAAAACTCATCACTGAAGCCCATTTTATGTAACAAAGAAAACAAATAAGGCCAAAGAACACTGTCAAAGGCCTTGTTTATGTCCAGGCTCAGCAACAGAACCTCTTTGGAGTGTAAATTAGCATCTTGAATAACATTTAGTGTAAGGCGAATGTTATCAGTAATAAATCTGTCTGGAATAAAACCAGATTGGTCCAGAGAGACCAAAGAGGAGATAATAGGGGCCAACCTGTTTGCCAAAATATTTTCAAATCATTATTCATTACTGAGATTGGTCTATAGTTTTGTGGTAAATGGTGATTTTTTGTGGTTTGGGTATTAAAGACATATTAGCTAACAGCATCTCCTTAGGGAACTTACCACCTCGCAAGACATCATTAAATAAAGTTATCAAATGGGGAGCCAACGTCGAGGTAAAGTGTTTATAATAACTAGCGGTGAATCCGTCAGGACCCGATGCAGTAGAACTTTTTAGCACGCTGATCGCACAAGTTATTTCCTCTAGGGTACAAGGGGCATTAAGAGAAGCTATCTGAGAGGGTGTGAGAGCAGGGAAAAAAGCAGGGAGCAGAGCAAAAAAAACCCAGAGGTGATCAAATATCACCAAAAGAAAGCTCTATTTGTGTGAAAAAAAGGACATAAATTTCATTCATGTACAGCATTGCATGACCGCGCAATTGTCAGTCAAACTAGTGCAGCTCTGTATAGCAAAAAAATGGCGGAAATTGCAGTTTCTATACCATAGTTTGTAGATGCTATAACTGCTATCACTCAAAGCAATCAATATACACTTATTGGGATTTTTTTTACCAAAAACATGTAGCAGAATACATTTTGGCTTAAATTTATGACTAACTTTGAGTTTTACTATATATTTTTTATAGCAGAAAGTAAAAAACATAGTTTTTTTTCAGATTTTTTTTTTTATAGTGCAAAAAATAAAAAGTGCACATGTGATCAAATAGCACCAAAAGAAAGCTCTATTTGTGTGAAAAAAAGTACATACATTTAGTCTGGGTACAGCATTTCATGACCGTGCAATTACCAGTTGAAATAGTGCAGCGTCGAATAGCATAAACAAAAAGGCCTGGTCAGGAGGGGGGGGGGGGGTAAATCCTCTGGAGAGCAAGTGGTTAATGTCACCAGTAGGATTGGGCTTGATATTCGAGTCAAACATAAGTTAAATTCAAACATCAGCCAGTCGTGTGTTCGATGCACACATTAACGCATGTCCTGATCTAGGGGGTGCTGGGGTGGCCTATGCCCCCCCAGATTTTAGTTGTGCCCCTCCAAAGTCAACTCTAACCCACCACTATACTGCCCTAGCCTGACACTATACTGTCCTTAACTAACACTATACTGATCTCAGTTATGCATTGTGTGGGGAGGAGGAGCTCTGCTGTCTGTGCCCAGGCTGTGTGCAGTGCAGGGATGGGAGAAGTAGCTGTGCCCTTGTCCTCAGTACTACCAGCAGTGACCCTGCCAGCAGTGACCCCTATATTCTTCCCTGCTGACCCCCTATCCTCTGACTCCCTGACATTTTTTACTGCACCCCCACATTGGACAGGCTAGATCCAGCCCTGCATGAATGGTGAGGGCGTTTGGCGGACTGGTCACTGGCAGAGCTCCACAATGCACTGCGCCCTGACAGTGCATTGTGATTGGCCAAAGCAATGCACCTGACCACAGCATGTGATGTCAACTGGGTGACCCCTCCCCCTTGTGACATCACATGATTAAGGAAATGTCAGACTGGCACAGCTGTCAGATGGCAGGAGCAAGCATCGCGAGTGGAGCGCCTTTTTTTTCTCTCTTTGTTTGGGTCAGCGGTGGTGGCAGACATCGTGATTGATGTTAGATCTACTTCAGGGGACATTTTTAAAATTTTTGTTTTTAATAAAAGGCTTGTCAAAGATTGTCTTCTGTCATTTTTTACAGTACACTTTTTTTGTGAGTGAGTACCATGTACCCCATACTCATTCACAAAGAGGGGGTAGGATCTGGGGGTCCCCTTGTTCCAATAAGCTACACGCCTGCAGACTCCCACAACCACTGGCCATGGTTGTGGGGAAGAGTCCCTTGTCCCCATCAACATAGGGACAAGGTTCTTTGGGAGGGAACCCCCCCTGCCCCAATGTACCCCCCCATGTAAAGGGCAAGTGGCCTGATATAGTTCAGGAGGGGAGGTGGTAACTCGTCTCCCCCTTTCTTGACCTGCTGGGCGGCATGCTTGAACAAGGGTCTGATAAGCATTTTGGGGGGATTTAAAAAACAATTTGGCATGGAGATTCCCATCAAAATCCATACCAGACCCAAAGGGCTTGCTATAGATGGAGGGGACCCTACGCTGGTTTTTTTTTTTCATTTAATTAGCCGACAATTATTTTTACATTCAGCTGTCAGCAGGGAACCCCGCTGACAGCTGAAACAATAAAGAATGTTTTCACTACTAAAGCACTGCATGACTTAATATAACTCATGCAGTATTTTAGTAGCTGTGCTGTATCTTACCTCATACTCAGATGCAGTAAGATACCACTTAGCAAATTGTCCCTGTTCAAAGTTTACAGTCAAACATTATAGGTTCTACACCCAATCCTCTAAACGGCCTCAGGGACCTTCCTAACCTATTTGGCCAATCTCCAGGTCCTGAGCCCACAGTTTCATTATCTGTACCAACAGTCTTGCAATTTCTTCCCGAGCCCTCTAACCATGGAACAGTCTTACTAGATCCTGCAGATGATTTTTCACAACTAGAGACCTTATGGTGGGGCACAGATGAGTTCAACAAGTCCTCAGCTGCAGTATATCTCTCCACTAGGTCCACTAGTTGGTTTGCAGTTTTAAGGGTCCCATGGCTGACCCACTTTATCAAATTGGCAGGGAGCATGTAGATAGCAGTCCATGATCACACGCTCCACAATAGTAGAGACTGAAAATGTCTCTGGCTGCAGCAACTTTCTGGTGAGATGTATCAAGTCAAACATCTGGGAGAGAGGTGGCTTGTCAGCAGTGTACAACCACTGATGCGCCTGTTGAGCCCGGAATGCGATGGAGATGCCCAGGCATGCAAATATTTCAGCCTTCAGATTCTCGTAATCCTGGGCAGCATCTGGTTCCAGGTCATGATAGACCTTTTGAGGTTCACCTGTCAATAATGATGCAAACAGTCCCACTCATTGCTCTTTTTGCTATCCTTCTCACACCTCAACTCTTGCAAAAGTTGCGAGGTAGGCTTCACATCATCTGCAGGTATCATCTTTTGCAGGTATAGCTGGCACACACCATTATCAGTTCCAGCAGACCTGAAGACCCCTTCCTAATTTTATCAGATGTTGGGCCACCTCCCTAAGGCGCTCTCAGTCTGCTTGTTGGGCCTTCCCAAACTGGAGATTCACCTCCTGCTGCGTTGCAGTGACCTTTGTAATCTGGCAGTTGGTTTCCAGCTGGGCTGCAGTAGTCTGCAGCAAGGATCTTATCACATCAGGGGCAGACTGACAATTCATGGGGCCCCAGGGCAATAGGGGATCATGGGGCCCCTGTGTCCTTGCCCAAACTCAAAAAAGCCTATGAAAAAGGTACCAGGGGCATCTCATGGGGCCCCCTACTGACCCTGGGCCCTCGGGCAGTGCCCGAGTTTCCAAATGGTCAGTTCGCCCCTGTATCACATCCTCCATCTCCCACTCTGAACAGAAAGTTGCCCGCTAAATTCACCATATATGGTGGTTAGCTCAGACGGGGATCACCTTCCTAAGGAAAATAGGTAGTCCAGACGGCAGGTCTTTCTTAAAAGTCTGACTTGTAGCCAGTTTTATTTAAAAGGTTGAATGGAAAATAAACAAAACAGAACATAAATCCCTGTTATCCAGGCACTAACTAAACAGAAGAGATTCCTATCTCACAGGTTAAGGGCTTCTCCCAGTCACCAACAAAATAAAATATTGTGCAAACCTTTTCCTTTCTCATACAAGAAAACTTTCACATCCGTGGCTCACTCAGTATGGCTTCCTGAGTCCCAGACCACAAAAGCAACCTTTTGCTCCAGTCTGCTTTATTTATACCACCTGATGGAAGTCACAGGTGGAAAGGAAAAACCGGTTCGGAACCACCACTGCCTGGAAAACCTGAACTGGATTCCACCTTAGTTCTCTACATATGAAAGCATGTGAGGTGATACATAGCATCCCTCAATCATCTCGCCTTTCATAATGTCAAAATTGTTTAAAAAGAGTAAAGCTCAAATTTCATTGAAATAGTTAAAGTTTCAAGGCAATTCAAGATCAAAAACAAAGCCATAGGAAAGGTGATCTATATAAAGTATTGCTTCAAACAGAGGCGAGGTGGATATTCGCCCTTGGTTTAAGAGCTCCATATGCTATAAATGAGGAGTTTACATACTGTACATACCCTTTGTACATAATTTGGAACTTGCCCTGCATGCACCTGCTTAATCGAAAATACACTGTGTTCCAAATTATTATGCAAATTATATTTTTCTCATTTACCTAAATAATTGATGTAAATAACAGTCAGCATAATTCTCATGTTATCAACTATTAAGAGTACAATTCAAATTTTATTGAACAAACCTCCTAATGATAACAGTATTTTTTTTTAAACATAAAAAACTTACAATGCACTGTTCCAAATTATTACGCACAGTAAGTTTTAAAACACTTTATAGGTTGTAAAGAACTGAAAATTGTCATTTGTTGTGTTTCCAAAAAAAGGGGGCAAAATGTCAGTGCATCTTATGGAGCGAATATGGAGTGGCCGGTCCGGTGATCCCACCGCCGCCGCTGCGTCAAAATACCGGGCCGGCCGCTCGTCTCCTCTCTGCAGCAGGACCTTACCTGTTCCTTGGTCCAGCACTGGGAAGGCTTCCCACATCGTCTCTGGTCATCTCCTGTACTGTCCGCAGTCTCTGGTCATCCCCTGTACTGTGTCCGCAGTCTCTGGTCATCTCCTGTACTGTGTCCGCAGTCTCTGGTCATCTCCTGTACTGTCCGCAGTCTCTGGTCATCCCCTGTACTATGTCCGCAGACTCTTGGTCATTCCCTATACTATGTCCGCAGTCTCTTGGTCATCCCCTATACTGTCCGCAGTCTCTGGTCATCTCCTGTACTGTGTCTGCAGTTTCTGGTCATCTCCTGTAGTACGTTCGCAGCCTCTGGTCATCTCCTGTAGTATGTCCGCAGCCTCTGGTCATCTCCTGTACTATGTCCGCAGTCCATTGGTTCAGAATATTTTTTTTTCTTGTTTTCCGCCTCTAAAACCTAGGTGCGTCTTATGGTCAGGTGCGTCTTATGGAGCGCAAAATACAGTATATATTGTACATATTGTGGATTAATAAATATATACATTTATAAGCACATACATGTTTATATTCAATTTATCAAAAATAAGAGATTGTATGTAGAATACAAAATGTATTACAATTGCTTAAAGCTGCTGGTTTAGTTTAGTCAACCTCATTCATTTTCTACACCATTCCCATGGCATCTATTTGAATAGAAGTTGACCACTGATTGTGATGATGTAAAGCTACATGTTAGCCTATTGGGGAACACATATTTCCAATTTTAATAGGATATACAACTATGTATATATTTTCATAAAGTTTCCATTTGGTGCTACATAGTAGTCTTCACAGTCGCAAATGAGTAAAAATACAGTACAAATCCAGTCATCTTACAGTTTACAAAATGCTTGGGTCTAGGTATTGTCCTGTTGGTACCTTTCACTGTATCCTTCCTTTTGTAATAGCTATGTTCCGATTTGTCTTAGATTGATATATCACTTTTATAATAGTCTTTTTTGGGGGTCTCTCTAATACTTTTAGAAACACTGGGGACTGTCAATAATTATTACCAATATTTTTTATTGTTTCTCTGATTTATTGAGTTTGTCTAATATATTAAATGATAAATTAACAATTTCAGCTTTTTTTTCCTCCAATAGCAGAGATTCTGTTTTACCCATAGCCCTTTGATAAGACATTTAAGGTGTGGATTTGCTGTATCCTCATACTAATATTTCTTTTATTGCATTTGCTTCCATATGGAAGTGTGCATTGTCAGAGCAATTTCTTCTGGTACATTAATATTAGCTCAATGGAATCAACATAAACATAAATTGGAACTACTTCCATGTAAAATTTCATTCCCAGCAATTGGTTTTTGATACAGATTATTAGCAAATATCCCATCCTGCCTAACTGTAATTTTAAAATCCATAAAAGAAATCAGTTGCTGATTACAAGACATATTGAATCCCAAATGATATGTATTCACATTCATCCATGCCAGGAACTTCACAAGCAATGATTTTTTGCAATCTCATATGATGAGTAGGTCATCAATATATCTGTGCCATGATACCATGGAGCAGATGTATAAGGATAAGGCCATATACAAAAATATTGTATGCCCACACCTTACAGTACATAGGATGGAGTCAACAGGTGCCCATTATCAAGCCCTGAATCTGGACATAATTGGATCTATCAAAATTAAACACACAAGAGGTATTTAATAAAGCTTTCTGTGTCAATTTAATGGTGCAGAAAATTGGTGTGAGTGGTATGCACCACATTAACAAAGCAGATAGACGTGTTTCAGCTCTGTCTGCTCCACTTGCACCAGTTTCTATTTCAGAGTAAAATAGAAACTGTCCTAGGTTACATATCTTTTTAAAAAAGGGATTATGGCAGTTTTTGATAAAGTCCTGATTGTTAAGCATTTTAGGCACATGTTCACGTACTGCAAATTATTCTTAATCGAGAACCTGTACCCCTTATCTAAGGATTTAATCATAGCATTGTAACACTAATTTGTTTTTTTGGCAATGCCAAGCTGCAGCAAGCAAAGCTAGGAAACTATAATCTTTCATCAAAAATGGTATTTACTCAAGAGATAAAACTATAATTCTACCACTTTACAACAAACCTATCCTGCCACATTTTATATATGTAGTATAGTTTTGGTTGCCAATCTTCAGAAAAGATGTCCCTGAACTGGAGAGAGTGCAGAGAACGGCAACAAAGCTATTAAGGGGGCTGAAGACCTCAGTTATAAAAAAATACTACAAAAACTAAACTTATTCCCCTGGCACAAAAGCACTTACGAAGAATATTATTGCAATATTGAAATCTTTCAACGGTGATTTTATCATTGGGCAAAAACTTTTTAACATCAAGTTGGACAAGAAGTGGTTCAAACTCAAGCTGTGTAGAGGATTCTTTACTGTATGGTGAGGATATGGAATTCCCTAGTGGTGTCAGTAGGGAGAGTAGACAAATTAAAAGAATACCTTTTAGATGTGTTTCTTAGCTAACACAATGTATGAGATATGGAAAATGGTAGTGACACAAACACACACTGAACTGGATAGACAGTGTCTTTATTTAACCTTTCTATCTATGTAACTATGTAGGTAAAGTTTACCTTTTAAGGCTTTAAGGGGAAGAAACTCACTCTTTGAAGAGTTAATATGCAGCCTTGAAAGATACTAAAATTAGTAGTAAATCATTGTATGTGGTAACAAACTGTTTTAAAGACAGCAACAATCAGTTACTAAACAGGGCCGGATCTAGCCTGTCCGATGTGGGGGTGCAGTAAAAAAATGTCAGGGGGGCAGATGATGTGAGGTCAGCAGGGGCAGTATATTGGAGTCAGTAGAGCAGTGTACAGGGGTCAGCAGGCCAGAGAATAGGGTCAGCAGTTTTCAGGGCAGGGTACAGAGACCATTAGTTTGTAGGGCAGAGTACAGTGGGTTATCAAGGCAGTGCATGGAGTTAGCAGGGTAGCAGACAGAGGTCAGCAGCGGAGTGTACAGGTGGTCTCTAGGGCAGGGGACAGGGGTCAGCAGAGAAGAGGACTGGGTTTACTGGTGACAGATCACTCAGCAGAGCTCCTACTCCCATCCCCACACTGCACATAGCCTGAGCACTCAGCCAATCTCTTCCTCCCCACACAGGACACAGCTCGGATCGGATTCCCTTAAAGACATAGCCTTGATCTGCAGTTTGTAGCTGGCTACCTCACCTGTGCTGCCATTCAGATCTGGGAATTCCACAGGTAAGAACTGCAACATAGCAGTCAGCTATACACTATGCAGATTGAGGCTGTGTCTGTAAGGGATCCAATCTAAGCTATTACTGTGTGGGGAGTAGGAGATCTGTTGAGTGCCTTGTGTGTAGTACAGGCAATGCTGGGACAAGGTCATCTAGCGCCTAGAGTGAAGATGACAAACTGCACCTCTGAAGTGTAAACACCCTGTCTCAGCATAGAATTCCTTCCCATCAAAAAAACAAAAAGACTGCACTAATTAGTAGACTCTCCCCTAAGCATAAATTTCATCTGCAAACTAAAATTCTTTCACCCGAAAATGCAAAAATCCCCCTCCTCCTTGGTTCAAATCCACCCTCCCAGTAAAAATATTTGCCCTCCAATCCTGCCTTCCAGCTCAAATCCCACACTAATTCCCCTCTCCTAGCACAAATCTCCATCAACCCCAAAAATCACCCCCTCCTAGCACAGGTTGCATTTCTTCTCAAATTTCCCATCTTAGCACAAATTTTCTCCCGCAAATCCCCCCGCCTATCATAAATCCCCCCAAATTGCACAATCACCTCCCCAGTCACCCCTATTAGCTCAAATTCCCCCACCCCTTCCTGACACAAAACTTCCCCCCAATCCCCTCTCACAGCACAAATCCTCTCCCCCCAATCCTTCCTCATAGAACACAATCTCCCCAATCCCCCCTTAGTACAAATGCCCCCCAGCACAAAAATTCCTCCCAATCCCATCTGGCTCAATTCCCCCCAATCCCATCTGGCTCAATTCCCCCTAACCCCCTCCTAGCACATATCATCCCCTACCATCCATCCTTTTAGCCCAACCCCCCCCTTGCACAACCCCCCCCCCATTCCTCCACCTAGCACAACCCCCTACAAATTACCTTTCCCAGGACAAATCCTTCCTTCTTACCCAAATCCCCCCTCCTAGCAAAAATCCCCCTGCCAATCCCCCCATCTTACCACAACCTCCCAGCACAAAAATTCCCCCCAATTCCCCCTCCTAGAACACATTATCACCAGTCCCTCCCCCTAGCACAACCCCTCCAAATGACCCTTCCCAGGAAAAATCCTCCCTCCCTACCCAAATCCCCCCAGTCCCCCCTCCTAGCATAAATCTCTCTCAATACCCCCTTACTAAAACCCCCCCAGCATATACATTGTCTCCCAATCCCCCCTTTAGCCTAAATTTCCCCACCTCCCTTCTTGAACAATCCCCCCCCACAAATAAATTCCCCCCAATCCCTCCCCCTAGCACAACCCCCTACAAATGACCTCTCCCAGAACAAATCCTCCTTCCCTACCCAAATTCCCCCTCCTAGCACAAATATCCCCCCATCTTACTACAACCTTCCAGCAAAAAAAATTCCCACAATTCCCCTTCTGGCTCAATTTTCCCCAAACCCCCCTCCTAGCACATATCATCCCTCCCCCATTCTTCTTCCTAGCACACATTCACAAATCTCCTCCAACTCCCCTTCCTAGCACAAGCTCACCCCCCCTTCCCCCTCACCTTATAGGGAAAAACTGCTACAGAGCCAGGAACAGGTGTGGGTTGTGCCTCTCTCCTATCAGAACAGCGTTCCTGTGTGTGACAGATAATGCAGGATCGCTCTTCTGTTGGGCTGCACACAGGGTTCGATTACCCGCTCCCCACCCACGTGTCCTGCTGCCGGGTGATGAGCAGCCCTTGGAGGACATAGGGAGTGGGTAATCAAACCGTGTGTGCAGCCTGACTAAAGAGCAATCCTTTGTTATCTGTCACACAGAGGAACACTGTTCTGATAGGAGGGGAAAGCAACGCACTTGCTACAGCCTCTCTCCTCTCTGCCACTCCTTTTCGGGCTTTCCCTCTCCTTGTAAATTTGTACTGAGTGCAGGGCTAGAGGGAAGTAGCCAGGCAAAACATCCATCGGGTGGCTGGCCTGGGGGGGCACAATGGAAATCTCTGGGGGTGTAGCCCACCCCAGCACTCCCCTAGATCTGGCCATGTTACTAAATGTGCTAAGCTTAGCAGTGCTGTACCACAAAACTGGGTAATTAAATAGACTGTTATAA